TATGTTAAGCCGTGAATCACCAGAAGAATTGCCAAGGTCTCAGCTGCTCTTCGAACGAGAAAATTCTCTATCGGGTGGGTATGCTGCTGTGTGTGAGAACACCCATGTCCTGCTCAGTACACTACCTCGCTCCTCGACAGTTCCCAAAGGATGCTGCTGCACGTGCGTTGTGCGAAAAACCGAATTTTAGTCTTCGTCGTTATCGATTCAAGGCCCTCATTCGTCTTAGAGATACTGAAGATCTCTGCTGATTTTTTTCCTGTCCTACTTTCATGTGCAGTCCTAAACATTATTGAGGATAATGATCTGTAGTTTCTTCCACGTGGGAACATAATTCATAAAGGCTCTTTTGGGCTGTTTGGAAAGGCTTATTATATGTAGGCAGTTCCAGAATTTCATCGATTACACGAATACATGTACATTTTGATTCCATTGATGCTATCTGATGCCAAGCGGATTTCTATGCAGCCAGCTGAGCTTTGAAAAGCGCAACCTGCCGTCAAAATTTCGGTACATGAATTTTGGCGAATAGATTGCTATTCTGCAATTACGGCACGCTCGGGTACGGGGGTCTCAGGACTTCTGTCAGGCGTGAGGCTCGGCGGTTCAGCTTTTGTAGTGATGTCTGGGAGCTCTCACAAGTGCACACTATCACAGTTTCTTTATCTCCTTCAAAAGGCTTAGTCCCAATAAGACACAAAGTGTTGCTTTTGAATACATCAAAGCCAGCGCCCAGATCTACCCGGAAACAATTTTCACGTATGCCCTTCTTTCCAAGGACTCTTTTGACCTTCAGCGAACGTCATTGCATTCTTCAGCAAGACAGGGCGCCTCCACATGCCGCAAAATCAATGCTTGGAGAACTGTGACCGTCATTTTCCAAGTTACCGGGCACAAAATGTTTGGCCATCTAAGTCGCCCGATTTGAACCAATTGATTTGGCGGTGTGGGGCTTCTTGAAGCAGAAGATGCCTTCTGAGCAACGTCGAAGTTTGGACTCCCTGAAGGCTTCCTTGGAGGAGGCGTGGAAGGAGCTTGACGTCAGCTGCTTGCGGCTTACAGTGATGTCAGTTGAGAAGAAATTTGAGGCCTGTATCGCTGTCGAAGAAGA